AACGAAAAATGCCATTGCAGAAAACTGTGATTAAAGAATTTGATTATTCCTGAAATCACATGAGCAGGAGCATAATGAGCCCTTCGTTGTTTCACGGAACCTCTGCCTCCTCCTTCACTTGGCATAAAGTCACAGGCCTTAAGAAGCAAAGCTGGAGCTTAGAAAACGAGCCAAATTCCCATGCTTCATAGGGAAGGCGCACGCTGAACAGAGTCATTTACTTGTGAGCGCGAGGGAAAGAGTTTCGAGTATGGAGGTTCTAGAAACTTAGGTCTGCTAACAAATCTTCTTTTCGATTATTTCAGAAATTCTTGATGAAAATGAGAAGGATGAATCTGGCAAAATCAAGTCATTTTCCTCCTCAACAGGTAAGTGCCTTCAAGTCTCACACCACAATGAAAACCTTCAGACCTCTAGAGGTGTCCTCAGGCCCTGCAGTAAAGAGCTAGGAAACCTGAATTTTCAGTTACCATCTCTGCAAATGATCTACAGAGAAGAGCATTGATATTTAACTTCTTCTTCATTCCACTTTGGAATCTGAAGTAAATGTGAACAAAGTGAAGAAAAAGAAAAATGCTGTCAGCCCAGGCATTGGCTCTCCCTATAGTGGAAGCCACCAAACCAAATGGCTCTTGGAAACCCTCAAAGCTCACTCAGGATAAGGCCCTACATTACAGAGGCCCTAAGTCACAGGGGAAAGACCACTGAGATCGGTTCTGAAACTCTGGGTTATTTATTTATTTAAAAAAATTTTTTTAATGTTCATTTATTGTTGAGAGAGACAGAGAATCAGAGCACAAGGAGGGAAAGGGGAGAGAGAGAGGGAGGCACAGAATCGGAAGCAGGCTCCAGGCTCTGAGCTGTCAGCGCAGAACCCAACGCCGGGCTCAAACCCACAAAGTGCAAGATCATGACCTGAGCCGAAGTTGGACGCTCAACCAACTGAGCCACCCAGGTGCCCCAGAAACTCTGGGTTATTTCTGACTTCCTCACAACCCCCAGGTCACAAGCAAGGTCAACACTTACATCCCTGCTCTCCATCTTCTGAGAATCTGGAAGTGAAAGTGAAGATCATGAATTGGGAGAGAAGGCTGGGGGTCGTAGGCATGGGTTCTCCTAGGACAGGCAGCGTCATGGACATGTGGTGACACTAGATGAGCTGAGGCAGACAGAGAAGTCCCTACTGGGCAACAGAAAGAGAGCTGGAATAAAACACAAGCCATCTCTGCAATGAGCCCATCATTGCCCTTGACTAACCACGTTCCCCGGTGGAATTACCTCAACTTTTCTGAGACTCCTATTTTTAAATGAGATTGATTAATAACATCTATAAAGATGCATAAAACATCAAAGAGAGATCAGCTAACAACTGCAAATAGAACAAGGATGTGGTTAAGAAAAACACGCTAAGGGGCCCCTGGGTGGCTCAGTCGGTTAAGTGTCCTACTTTGGCTCAGGTCATGATCTCACAGTTTGTGGGTTTGAGCCCCACATCGGGCTCTGTGCTGATGGCTCAGAGCCTGGAGCCTGCTTTGGATTCTGTGTCTTCCTGTCTCTCTGCCTCTCCTTCATTTGTTCTCTCTCTCTCTCTCTCTCAAAAATAAATAAAATGTAAAAAAATAAAATAAAAAAGGGAAAAGAAACACGTTAAGAAAAGCACAACAAGACTGGTCACATATACCGTGTGATCACTAAAGAAACTGATGACTTACTGAACCACATCCGAGAATCGTAGCGTCTAG